TGAAAGAGGAGGATGCTGCCGAGTATGCTCAGGTTATGGCTTTTCATTTGGTAAAGGTGTGGATGAAATGGTAGCTATGAACTGAAACCATAAAAGTGGGTCAGATCACAGCCCTTTGTAACAGTAAAGGAAACCAACGGGATTTTTTGTAAAAGTGCCAGAAGTTTGAGCTAGAAAATATGTTGATCTTGCACAATGCACTAAGACATTTTCTTAAGATTTATGCAGCTATTTATTTTGCCATGCTGTAGTATGGCTTTCCTTTCTAGGATGCCCCAGGACCTGTTTCTCACCATAAAGGGCCACATGCACCTGCCAGCTCTTCTTGATATGGGGGATGCTACAAGAAAAGATTGTAAGATGTTTTGGACTATAACATGCTCTGCCTCTCTTTCTTTGAACCCCCATGTAGGAGTCGCTGTTCTTCCTCATTGACCAAGGTGTTTGAAGTATGTCCTTGCTAAGAAAATGTAATGATGTAACGTCTTGTGTGAACCATTACAATGAAGGTCATTCAGCAGGTTGAGCTAGACCATCCTGAGGTGGCACAGATAACAGTTAAGGTCTCATACTTTCTTGTTCAGTATAGGATACAAGCTCTGCTCATGGAATATGTGAGATACTGTTACTCAAGAAGTGTTTCTTGTGCTGTATGCTATCCTGGTCTGCCATCAGTTGCTGAGTTTGGTGTTCTTAAGGCTTTGGGTAGCGTTACTGCCCATATTTTATACTCGCTGATTTTGCCAATCCATGCAAAATCAGTTTCTAGGCAACATGACTGCCAATATTTGTGATGGAGCATTACCCTATTTCTCACGCTATCAACTGTGGATAGCTATAGATCATTTGTGTTTTGTAAATTCTGTAAATAAGCTTCTAGTTGTCATGGTAATAAAGTATGTATCAGAGCTTTTTAACTGAGTTGCTTGTCAATTTGGATATTATCTTCTCCTTTTTCCATCGCCTTTGGTACATTCTGTATTTAATTTTTTAGAAAAAATCTGTTACTATATGTAAGATGTCTTTTTCCACTCCTATAAAAGAAAATGCAATCCTACTTTATTGATCACATGCATTGTTTCTGACATGATAGCAGCAGGAGGTCAGTTGTGTTGGGGGAAAAAAAAACCAAACAAGAAAACAAAACTCTTTCAGGGAAGCTGTACTGGGTGCACACAGGGAATGAGGAAATAGAAATTCATAATGTCATGGTTCATTGCAGCTAACTATGTCTGTGTCTAAGAGAATTTTTCAAGAGTACGCCTGAGGAGTATTCTTCAATAAACGGTATTCATGTTTGTTTTGAAAAGGAACTTTAAAACTGACCGTATCTAAATCTCTATGAAAAGCTCTGTTTGAAAAACACTCGCTGTGCAGGTAAGTGTTATAATCTATTAGACATTACTTGTTCTTTGTAATGCAGGATTACAGCTGGACAGACATCCGATGTCCCTTTGAAAAGCGCAGGGATGCAGCTTGTGTCTTCTGGGACAACGTAGTTTATATTTTGGGTGGTTCCCAGCTCTTCCCTATAAAGCGAATGGACTGCTACAATGTGGTGAAGGATAGCTGGTATTCCAAGCTAGGACCTCCAACACCTCGAGATAGCCTTGCAGCCTGTGCTGCTGAGGGCAAAATTTATACATCTGGTGGTTCAGAAGTGGGTAAGACACTAAAAATCTTTAAAACAAACCAAAAAAAAAAAGCACAAACAAAGATACCTGGAAATTTTTCTGGTTTTTGCATGACTCTGTTGAAAAGAAACTGCACGTTGCTGTGTTAGCCTAATGAGTTTAGGATTTTATCCTCCCACAATCCAACAACCTATTTCTGTTGTGTTTTTAAAATGGTTTCACTGATTGAAATGATTAATATTTACATTAACTAGAGCATAAAGTACACTGCAACTCTTAAGAGTTAACTAGGGACAAGGAAATCTATTTTGGCAGTCCCACTCTGCTCTAAGCTTACTTCTGTATATTCACAGAACTCAGTGTGGTTTAAAATTTTCTGCGATGTATGGCCAAAATAGCTGCATTTTGACAATGGCATTCCTTATATACAACATATGTTGAGCCTAATGAGTTGTTTTTTGGAGGAGGAGGGAAAAAAGGTGAAAAAAAAGCTTTTGAAACTACTGCTTTTTACTGGCCCTGTAAAAGAATTTGTCCAATTTTTCTGTCAAATGACAGAAGTTGTGTTCTGTTAGTTTGTTATTCTGTTGGTTTGCTTCAGGAAATGGAGAAATACTACTTTCTTTAGATGTTACTACTCATCATAGAAAAAACAAAAAACAACAACAAACAAACAAACAAACAAACAAACAAAAACCATTGAGGTTTTATTCTCCCCCAAAAACTAGTGGATGACTTACACTATGGTGTTACAGCAACATCTTAGAATTTATTTTGTCTAAACCTGATCCATCATCAACAAACCAAAAGTTGGAATGTAGGTATGCCATATCCATAAAAATATAGGGCTTTAAAAAAAGCTTTTTCTGGGAAAAAAAGAAAAAAAGAAAAACCCAAATCCTAGAGAAAGGGTGAAATTTTCTCATAGGTCCTTTTGAGTTCTGCCTTGCTGCAGAGGGAGGTGAGCAGAGAAAAAAAAGGTCATATTCGATGCTTAGCATCGATGTAAGTCACTTAGTGGGAAGTTGTGACATTTAGGTAATGTTACCTGACCTCTAAAATCTTTGAAAAGGTTTAATGTAGCAGCCGCTAAGAGCATTCCTGGCTGCCACCTGGTGTGGTACCTGTGAAATGGCACCTTTCCCATTGCTTGAAATAGCCTTCAGTAAGGCTGCACTGGGAAACTTGGAACACCACAAAATCTCGTAAATCTTCTGAGTTTCCCACATGTCCGTCCATGAGGGAGTATGATACAAACTTTGATTGTATAGTTTGTTTTCTACTACGTTGAAATTAGTTACATACAACTGCAATGGAAACTTTAATTTAGGAGTCTTCTTTTTAAATCCTACCCTCACATTACAGCACAGTTTCACTTTGCTTTCCATAAATATTATTCAAGACAAAATAGTAAAAGCTAAAAATTAATAATGGAGTTTATTTTGCCTGTACTTTTTTCTTTGGAATCCAGTGAACACTGCTTGTTTGGAAAAGTCTGTCTATCCTGAATCTAGTATTTTCTAAGTTGGAGCAAGCAGTTATGTGAAGCCATTAATCAGAGAAAATGCTGCAGTGTGTTTAGCTGTAGAGAAATTTAAAATTGCATACTTTTTGCATTGATTGAAGAGTTTGGAAAGCAAATTACTGTGCCAGTCCATTACAGAGAACAGGGCTCGTTTCCCCTTTTTTAATTGATGGGAGTACTGTTTTATTTGCAATAGCGAGCAGAGTTTGGAAGCTAAACATACTAAGTTCTTCCACTATATTTAGGTGCAGAAAAAATATTTAACGTTATACTGACAGCATACTGAAAAAGGAAGCTTTTACCTTTTTTAAAAAGGGTATTAAAGAGTTCTCCTGTATTTCCCATGGATGAGAATTTCTACAACTTCAAAGCAATAAGGATGTGTATTTACATCAAGGAAAAAATATGTCCCATCCTATACAGTTCTTCATGATACCGAGAATTATATGGTAGGAGTAAAGAAACACACAGTTTATAGAAGCTTGCTCCTGTATTTTGGGTCTGGAAATGTAGCAGTGTTCTGAGGGTTCAGATCCCCCAGCTGGTAGTGAGTGCTGCTAGTGCGACACAATTTTTAGAAGTAGAAAGCCAAGGAAAAAGAGGCACAAGAAAAGGCACTTTTAACTGTTCTAGATGAATATATCTATTGAAACAAAGGGGAGAAGGATCCTGGTTCTTTTCTGAGAAAGTAGTATCCAGCCTTCTTTGCTTTGGCTATGGTTCAGCTAGTTACCTGAGCACAAGTCTTTAAGCTCCCATCTATCTTTATTAGAAAAATTGCTTTTGATTTCAGTAATAGTTTTATTGGCCCTTGAGGGAGGAGTACACAGGCCTTCCACTTCCAGAAAATTAAATATCTGCCAGTCCCCAGGAAGAAAGTAAAATGGTGAAGGGTAGCTGTCTTGTGGTTGCTAATAATTCAGGAGTCTATGACATAATCAAGCTATCTAATTCCAAAGGCAACAAGTATTCTGGGAACTGGGCAAGTCACATTGCTTAGAGAAAAAAAGACTCATGTGAATCTGTACTAAGTTTACAAGCTGGTTTCATCTTCACATCTGAAAGTTCAGTGCATTTCCAAGTAGTGAGAGTAGCATGAGATGATGACAATATGATCAATAATTTATATACATGTTGTATTGATATTCAGTGTTTATTCCAACCCACCCTGCCTCATCCCCCCCAAAATATTATCCTTATAATTTGTTTTTGTTTCTAAACACAAATAGCAATTTTATAAACTTACTTGCATATTTTGGAGCAAAAGAGTCAAAATAATTACAAGTATGTACTTTCTGAATAGTCCCAAGTTTCAAGTTGGTTAGTTCTACTTTTGGAGGTGGGAAAGCAGCTTTCCCTTTTCAACTAACAAATAAAGCATCAGTTTGATAATTACTGTTAGACTCTTCTCTTGAAAGACAACCATAAAAATTAATGCCACTTTGGTGGGTTTCTATTTTTTTAAGGAAATTCTGCACTGTATTTATTTGAATGCTATGACACAAGAACAGAAAGCTGGCACACAAAGCCCAGCATGCTGACTCAGCGATGCAGCCATGGAATGGTGGAGGCAAATGGTCTCATTTATGTATGTGGAGGAAGCTTGGGAAACAATGTTTCTGGAAGAGTCCTAAATTCCTGTGAAGTTTATGATCCAGCCACTGAAACGTAAGTGTTGTTTCAATTCTGATTGTTTTGGGTCACTTGGGGCTTTTCTTGCTCTGTAAATAACTGACGTATAGATGAACAGGAAGAATTGTATGTAGTAAGGAATTTTCCTGAGTTAAGCAGTAATAAATTGGTTATTTGTAGTTTTACTTAAAAGGCAGTTTTTCTTAAGCAGCTTTCTTCCATATTTCATTTTCCTAACACTAGATTATTTCCATATTTTATATTTCTTTTCTAGGAGGGAACTAAATAGTGAATTTTCCTGTTTTGTTTGGTTTTCTTTTTCCCCAGGTGGACTGAGCTGTGTCCAATGATTGAAGCCAGGAAGAATCATGGGCTTGTGTTTGTAAAGGACAAAATATTTGCTGTGGGTGGACAAAATGGCTTAGGTACTTTAATTCTGTTCATTCTCTAGCTGGTCACACAACGTTTTGTGAGGCCTTTTTTCTTTTGCAAAGAATTCCTTCTACTCTGTTCAGCTGAAAAACTTTAAGCAGTCCCATAAACATGTCACATCATGGTTGCCTTCTTCCTTTCACCTCCCTACTTCACTGTATCTTGTTTTTCAAACTCTTTTACTAATGATACTACTGTCAAATTCAGATATGCACCCATACTGTAGCCCAGTTCTGCAGTAGTTAGTATGGCCAAACCAGTCATCTGAGAAGATTTTTTTTTTTTTTTTTTTTTTTAGTTATTCATTATGTATTTTGAGAGATTTTAGCATTCTTTTGAGACAGGTAAAGGTGTAGCCACTATTTTAGGAACTTCAGTCTAAAGACTTAAAACTAGTCAGCTATTAAAGTGGTGAAAAAGTGAGAACTTTTTTGACTGCCCTGGTTTTGAAATATGAGTTACTGTCATGGGTGGGTCATTTATGATCCAGCTGTCTCCTTGGCTTTAGAACTAGAATAATAATAGTTTATTTTCCCGGATAATTTAATTTTAATTACACAGGGCTTCTGAAGTGCTTTTCAAAATGGAAAATTCTCAGCTATGAGGTTTATTAATCACTATTTATGGTAATTGGAATATTTGATTTCAGATTAATGTTATTTTAGAATATAGCTTGTATTTTAATTAGCTACTAAAACTATTCCAGCATGATTGATTTCTAATGCAAAAATATCAGTAGATGCTTTTTTTGAGCGAAGATTTTATCAATTGGTTATAGCCAGAACTGCCATTTTGCCAAATGTTAGTATATTCACTGAATGTTCATTTTAGAAGTGTGTGCTATTGAACCAGTAAGTTAAAGTATTATTTTGCTGTTCATTTTCTATTCTGTTTAATTGTTCTTACTGTAATATAATGGGGAAGAGTTACATCTGGGGTGAAATATTGGTACCTCTTAACTTTATACAAATGTTTCTTAATCTCTCACATCTAATAATTCAGGACTGGAAGTGAAAACTCTGACTCATATTACATTCATTAAATAGGGATAACAGGATGTTTGTAGATATTGTAATTACCAGCCTATTTCCTAAAGAAGCAAACCTTAGTCACAAAAATCCACTCTTCTCTAATAACTTTTGATTCCCTTGGCCCTTTTCAAAAGGGACTTAGGCTTTTAAACTTCCATGATCTTAATATCATAATGGAGAGACATCTTCTATCAGTAAATGACCAATTTAGGTAAAGGTACTGGTGACCCCTTGTCATGGTTTGACACCTTGTCG